ATCATCAGCTGTTTTGGTGTTCTCAACTGCGGATCATCAAACGTGATAGAGCTCTAGCAACGGGTCAAGAATCGAAAACGTCAGATACTACTTCCTCGGAAAGGACGATTTTTCATTGAAATTGCATTTGACTAATGCGTAGGCGTTCAGTATGGTGTAAATTGTTGCCACATCTTTGTCTGTTCTCCTTGATTTCGATCGTGCCATGTTTGACTAAGCTTTTTTTCGTACCTATCGGGCTGATCTAAGCGGTCTAAAAATGGCGAAGGCGCTTTCGGCTCGGCGTGGATTTCACGAAGCGTTCTGCCGATACCCACCTTGTCTGTTATCAACGCTACGCAACAGTGGGGACAAGGGGACGTCATCACCGTAACCTGAGCTCTAGAGTTCAAGGCTCATTCGAATATGACCTCCTCAGGGAGAAAATAAATGCAAGAGACGCTTCTGACTGCTTCGGTTATCTTTTAAATTAGTATATAAAAGCCTATTCCGTTTAACTTAGTTATGCCAACAGTGCTGTTGTGTTTGTTATGCCGCTGTTGCGGTAAAAAGCACGGAACACCGGATGCGGCGGTAGCAAACGTAGAACAAATGGATTATAACGGACAATCCACGTCAAAGGAACAAAATGTACACTAAGCACAATATAGCAACCAACGACGTTTTCCACTTAGTCGTCCGAGTGTTTGACTTGCATTTACCACTAATCGCGATTCTGTTTATTTATCCTTATTTCACTAGTGGATTGTTCTCGTTTTTCCCGGTGCTGTAAAGGCCGTTCTACTTCAGCATGAGCGTCTTATGTATGTAGTCGTGACCTGTCTGTGAGTTAGGGTTGTTTACATCGTAGAGCATCGAACTCCCTGTCGTTGGATACCAATCCCCAACAATGGACTACTCGCCTTTCGTCTTTTTGGGGTAGGTGGACAAATGAAGAAACGTTTATGTGGAACGGAGTAGGAAACATGTTGTAGTAACCACCAAACTGTGTTCGTAAAAATTGCAACTTTTCTCTTCGGCGTCGCGACCGAAATCACTGCCATGTCATTAGCTCCATGACAGAGAAAAATGCGTGGCTAATCACTGAATTGTTTGCGAGCCGTCATCCTAGTGGTTACGACCAAATGTACTTTTATTATTCTAACCTGAAGGCAGGCGAGGTGGCCTTTGATGAAGTGTAGACTTGGCACTGTGTGATGTTTTGTATGAGTATTTTCCTACTTTGCGGTGTTTCATCCTACTTGACGCAACTGTATTTATAGGGGGAGCAACTAGTGAACGTGAAGGAACGTGACAAATGTGTTTGGTGGATCATTTGTATGGTGAAGCATTACAAACTGGGACCGGATACGCAGTGTATGGCAGCGGTGATCTTGGACTACATGCTGAGTACGGCGAGGGTCCAGTCGAAATACCTACGCTGCTTGGCGCTTTCCACGCTGTGCATCGCTTGTAAAGTTTGTGAGGAACCTGAGGTAATGTGTAAACGATTTATCTCGTGTAGTCGGTGAGCAATGCAAAATTTTGTTTTGTTTCAGGCTGTGCCTCAGATTTCCGAGCTTATACAAGGATCTGGGTGTACGTATAGTTTTAGAGAATTACTGCGAATGGAACGGGTTGTGCTCAAACACCTTAAGTGGAATCTGAGCTTTGTCACTCCTTATACGTTTCTGCAGCTGGTACGTACGTTGTTATGATACTGCTTTTTAACGGTTGTGTCAGCAACGCGTCTCACTTTCGTAGATGCTGGCCGTTAGCTTCACTTTTAAAGACTGTTGTTCCATGCTGAGAATCCTCAGGCCATTTCTGAACCACATCTGTGGTTGCTCAGAATTGCAGTTGGTCTACCGATGCTCGGTACTCACCTTGGCTGCGTTCTCCCTTGTGCTGGAACGCTACTGTCCCAAGCAGTGGCTCACTGTTGCCCTGTGCATCCAGCAGCAAATATCAGTACGTTTTGATTTTGCTCTTGCTCCTTATGTTTAATATTTCTGCTTCCATTAGTTTGCTGCGCAATTGAATAACTAGTGAATTTAATTTGTCAACAAAATCGAGCTGATAACTAATAAAAGTTAATTAGTTTAAAATTTATTCCGCCGTTTGTTTCTCAGTAATGTAAAATCAGCCAAAGATATTGCAAAATACAATATTTAAACTAGTCTTCGTTTTCCTCAGATATCCATGAGCATCACACATTGTGATTTTTTGTAATTCACTATGAATTCTTTTTTATGCATGAAGACTATCGTTACTTGATCGAAACACTGTACTCTGTAACGCCTTTCGAGAAAAACGTCCTTCAATGCTATGGCTCATCTTATAACTGGTATTGACTGATATGAGCCATTAAATAATTACAAAAAATATTTCATCATGCGAATGGAGTAACAACCGGAGGGTCAAAAGCAGACAAAGATATAATAAATCGAATTACTCGAATTGGAGTCCACCTGGCAAGATCGCCTATTCGAATCGTGAATTATTATTATTATTATGGAATTGTTATTTGCTTGTCATCTTTTTGAGATACATATAGAATGCCATTATAAGAGAAAGAAAGAGAACACTAAAGCTGCAACACCAACACTTAGCCACAACTAATGCCTTCAGAAAGTTAGGCATTCCTTGCTGGCGCCATGTCCTTCATATATGCTGAAGTGCAGCTTGATGTATGTTGCATTTCAGCATATCAACGTAACTTTTAGAATTTCTGTGAAGAATCCTAATATTGCGTCATTGCCTCGTTTCAATTGAGTAAGAGTTCGGTATCCACTAACGGTAAAAATATTAAGTATTAGAGTCGTGAAACCGTTTTGGAAAGAACATGCATCGGGAAGATTGAGTATTGATCGTGCAATACGCGGCAGAGAAAAATCACGTTCCCCAATGGTGATATTGCACGGCCATCGTTAAAGAATGAAATTGGTTGAATAGACGAATCAGAGAAGCTTTATGTATTGTCAAAATGTCAAGCAAGTGTGAACCGGCAAAGGATACGAACTCTGCACGGATTGGACAAACCTTATAAAGTCCATTACCGAAAAACTGATTAACCAGCAGTATCATCAAGCATATCTTTGATAATTCCAAGTGTCACAATAAAATGCAGACTTCAGACCCAACTGCGGAAACCACTTTGAAGAAGGCTCATGAAAGACGATCCGACACATCAGTACTGCTCAGTCAGTAGATTAACCAACTTATTTACTTGTTTTATGAATAAATAAACCGTTTTCATACATTTTTCAGTTTTTGTATATGAAGTGTGATGTTACTTGGTTAGTGCGTTGTAATCACACTGAAAGATAGCATGAAACGGTATATTTTTGAAATAACAAAAAAATGATCAGACAGGATATGGACCACTACAGAAATTTAGGCTAACGTTTCACGAGAAATCTTCACCGTAAAATCTAGGTAAAATTCAGAGGATCGTTCCGGTCAGAATCTAGACGCGTATTCGCGTTAAAAGCACTGCTTGACTCTGTTTCTAATTAATACATTTTGTACTTTCTTAATTTAATATAAATACTTCGCCAGTTTGCAGTCAGTGTTTAGTGTAAATTATGAACGGTCAACTCATTTCGTACTTTCAATCATAGATAAAATGCATGTAACAGCCGCTGTTTTACAGATCTCGCATGAAAAATTTATTGCTTGTCGCGAAGATCTCGTTAAATCTTGGGCCAAGGAACACAACAGTGTTGGTTTACCTCTGGACATCGCATCTCATGACGACGGCCACGAAGTTTTACTTGCTGGCAACGTAGGAGCGCCACTGTCGGCGGATCGTACTTCTTTCTCTTCTTCGTCGTCGTCGTTTTCCGCCGGCTCTCACTACCGACAGACGGGTAGCAGTCGCAAGAGGAGAAGACAGAAGTCGCGAAACAGCCAGGGCGATCAGTCGTCGTTATCTTCGTCGAAGGGCGTCGTCGATCCTCCGTGCTGCTGCGTGGAAGAGATTTCCGATGCGCTAGGTGTTCTTTACGGAAAAGGCCTGGTAGAAGCGGAAATCTGAGGT